AGCCCGCTAGCAAACGGCTCACATTTGCGGCTGCTGCAAGGCAGCGAGTCCGAGCCCGGTCCCGCATCCGCAACCGCATTCGCATCCGCATCCGCATCTGCATCCGCATCCGCAATCGAACCCGTAATCGCAATCGCATCCGCATCTGTATCTGTATCTGTATCTGTATCTGTAGCTGAATCTGAATCCTCATCCGCGTGTCCCTGTGTGTGTGTAAGTGCTCATTCGAAGCGGACCGCCAGCAATTGCAGTGTAAGGCGTCCGCCAATCGCATTCCAGTAAACTAATCCTTCGAGCACCGAGTGTCCGTAAATTGAGTTTCGTTTCCGGTTCCGCCGCGTGTCGCTCAATCCAAGTTGGCCAAGTCGGTCGGTTGGTCCGGTATCCCACAATCAGTCAGTCAGTCAGCCAGTCAGTCAGTCGGTCGGTCGGTCGTCCGTTTTAGACATTTTTCGCTGCTCAAAAATTGATGCCAGCCGCAGGAGCAGCAGCCCTGTAATGTAAGTTACCGCCGTAATCTCCTCCTTCTTCCCCCGCTAAATCCAATCCCCTTTCAACCTGAGAACCGTAAATGTGCTATACGATTTCTGCTTAACTGTTGCTCCAACTGCGGCTACGTTCAACGCCCCAGTCGAGCAGGCAGACAAACAGACAGACAATGGGACACACAGACATACTATATATACAGACATACAGACAGACAGACAGGCAAACAGGCAGACGGACGGACGACGGACGGACAGGGGCATCGGGAATGTGTGTCAGTGTGCGAGCTCACTGTACTTGAGTATTGAGGCGAAGGCAAGCGAAAGGTTTATGCCAGACCCATGTCGTGAATCGGTTAATAAAAAGAATTCTAAATGACATGTGCAGAGCCACACAAGTTGCAAAAAGAGTTGGATAGAAACAACTGTTTACAAACTATGATAGAAAACGTTGAAATTTAATAAATAACATCTAAAAGCGTTTAAGCTGTTTAAATAAAGCTTTCATTTATAAAAGAATTTTTGAAAGATATAATTGTTATGAAAAAGTTCCTTGAAAAAGAAATTAAATTTAAATTATATTTTCTTCATTAAAGTCAAAAGTTCTAAAATCTTTGTAGATAGTACTGAAATTTGACTTTCCAATGACTTTTTGGCTTACCTTTTAAATCTTAATCGCAAAATATTGCGGTTGCTTTTAAAATGGCTCCCTGCTGCCTAGTAATTATATGGAAGCTAATTTAATCACAATTCAGTGAGTCGTGTAAACAAATGTTGACTTCGCCAGGCTCTCACATGTCTAGGCAGCCTTTGTGTTGATTTTCTCGTTTTATTATTACCTCAAACGTTTTTCTCGTTTGCTCTAATGAATACGCTCCGACCTGTTATCCCAGTTTCGCCAGTTTTACCAGCCGCCTGCTTCAGTTGCCACTGCTGCCCCACCTGCCGCCATTTACACTCGCATTCGGTTGCCGCCTGCCAGGTAGCACATTACCCATACGCCAGGTATGCCAGTCTGCCAGACAGTCAGCCAGCCAGTCAGCCGTTCAGTTAGACAGTCAGTCGGTGAGACTGTCTCCTTCGGCTGGCTTTCCCTGCTTTTCCTTTTTCGGTTTTCGTTTCGTTTTTGTTTTCGTTGTTATTGTTTTTAACGCAAATTCCCACTTGCTTAGTTGCCTGTTCTGGCTTGTTTTTGTATGCACGCTGTTGCCATTGTCTTTGTCCTGTCACACACACACACACCAATACACGAATGTACACCCTTATACTTTATATAAATATATATAGATTGTGCCCCCTTGTGCGTCGGCAGCGCCATCGTCTTGTTGTTGCGCAAATATTTGCCTTTTTTGAAGTTGATTTTTGGTCTCCGTCTGAGCGCCTTTTGTTGCCATCTCAAGTTCCCCGCCCGGAAAACCCCGCCCACCGCGCCAATATGCTGATGAATCGTTGCTAAATTGAATATCGAGTGTTTATTTATATTGGCCGGCAAGTGTCACGCCCGCCAGTCCATGTCCATCGGCCAAAGCTGGCCATGGCAAATAATTTGAAATTGATGTATTATCTCGAAGGGAACGTGGCCCCAATTGTCTCATCCGCTCCTCCCCCTTTTTTTTTTGCTACTGCTGCTGCACGCTTAAGTAGTTTGTGCAGCGCAAACAAAATTAAGCGAGTTGCAAGTTGCTGGCGCAAAAGTTGCTGTCACAATTGTTATTTCAGAGCGGGGAAAATCGAGCAAACAATTTATAAAATAAACGAAGCCCTTGGCGAAAAAGGAGGGGGAGATAAATATATTCTCTTTATTAAAGCTACCGCTTCCCCGATCAATATACAAATGAATCAAAGTCTAAAGAAGATACAAAACGAAAAATACTCAAATAACTTGTGCAGTGCAGACAAACGTTATTTATCACTGGTAAATATTTGGGAAAGTGCAATTCGATTGCGGTTGCAGTTGTCGCCATGAAATTGCTTTGTCGCTGGCCACCGGAATTTATAGCACTCCTTCCGGCGAACGAATTCAATTTTCAGTCTCCTTCGTCTACTCAAATATTTAAGCCGGCTCATTAGTGGGGGAATCCCCGCGGGAGAAAAGCAGACTTTTCTCGGAACGTGCTGCAGCATTCAATCCGGGCTTTAAGCGACAACTTCCCCGGGTTTTCAAACTCGAACTCGAACGGGAGTGCATTATGCGCCGGGCTATCTTCCTGGCAGAAATCTGGGAAAACGATTCGAGTCCCGGCCATTGTGGCGTTGCACTTAGTCGACCCGCAGTGCCTAAAAAGGAGTCCTCTTTCCACCGTTTTTCCCCTCCTCCCCTCCTTACAACCAACTGCCCGCATTGCCGACTGCCTGTTTACTGTTCTCCGTCGGCCGGTCCTTTATGCTCCACGCACACACACACACACACACACACAAAAAGCAGCAGCAGATAGAGGCACCCAGATGCCCAGATGCCCCGATACGTTTACTGCGATGTCGCTGTAGTTGTGGATGTGTAGTTGTTCAGTTGTGTAGTTGTGGTGGTGCTTGCTGATGGACATTTGCTGGCAGCTCTTGTGCCTTCTTCGCCGGTTCAGTCCGTCCTTTATGCGCCACAAATGAAAATGCAGACAGACAACGGGCGCCAACCGACGACAGCGGCAGTAGCAACAGCAACAACAGCAGCAGCAGCAGCAACATCAGCAACAAAAACAGCAGCAACATCGGCAGCAAACGACAGCAACGTCTGACGATGACGTCGCATTTCTGGAGACAATGAAACAAACTGAACCCGGCACAGATCCCAGCCGAGTTCGTTGACAACTGTGTCTGTGTCCCCCATTTTCCCATTTTCCGACCCCCTTTCATCCCTTTCCCCGCCCTTCTTCTATTTATTTAACATGCATTTGAATTATGAGCCAACCGAAAGGAATACTAAACCAACACACAAATAATAACCAAGCAACTATGGCTTTAATTCATAATTATTTTTATGTCAGCGCACTCATTAAGAGTTGCAAGCTTTTCATTCCATTTTCAACTCCTTTTTCCCTTGTTTCTTGTTTCCCACGGTGTGTTTTTCCCCATTTTCCTCTTGCACTTTATCCGGGCTTTGTCATTTGCATTTCACATTTGGACTCCTTTTAGCATTTCAAATGCTCCCGCTGCACATTTCGTTTCATTTTCGTTTAAATGGCCCAACATTTTCTGCTCTGTTGTGCATTTTGTGACTTTTAATTGCAGTCCTCAATTACTGAATGGAAAGTAATAATAAATTGGACGCCACATGAAATTTGTACGTTTGTTTTAACTGCAACTCTCCTTTAAGTTCGCTTAAATCGGTATTTTCGAGAAGTTTACTGCAGCCGTTAAGCGTTATGGCAATTTAACAACTGCAAAAAATATTTAATTTTCCCCTGGCAATTTGTCAACTGGGTGTGGCCCCTCGTAAGTCCAGACCAGCCAAGCTCCAGATACACACATACATATATATGTATATAAGTCGGCAGATACATATATATAAATTATCATTGCCAGCCAAAACTCAAACACGATAAATTGCCAGGCAACGGCAGCCGGAGAAGCAGAGGAAAAAATCTATAATTTACACAAAATTCGTTTCCGCATGCGAACGCTTTTCCAATATAAATGGTTCCCATTCCGCGTTAGCATCGTTTATAACATATTCATACTGATGCCACACAGATATGGCAATAATCGCATCGGACCCATCCGAAACCGGGCGACCTTAGCCAACAACTGTGGACGCGGATAGGAAGTGTGCCAATTGGGCGGCCAAAAGGGTCCGCTCCTCGAAAACTTGGCAAGTGCTTTCGGTTAATTTCGTTTATGTGTTGCACTCTGGCTGCCAGCCGGGCATTCCGCTTCCCGGATAATTGATAGTATAATTTCCATTAATTTTTGGCCATGATTGTTACTGGAGTTTTGCACTTTTGCCAATAGGTATATTTATTTCATTAGGTTGTTATCATGAGTTGAGTTTGTAAAGTGAATTACATAAAGAAACGAAACATTAAATAGATATAAACAATCAATAAGCATAGTTAAATTACTTTGATGACCTAGTTAGGTAAAAAATATTTATAAATTACCATATAGATCTCTTTATTTTCTCTTGGTTTTTCTACATAGAAAAAAGTAATTAATTTTTTGTCCTGATTCTTTTGCCAACTTTGCAGCCACAACAAGAACACTCAAGACTGCTAACTGGAATTGCTTCGAACCATCACCATCAAAACGAACAACAACCACAACAAAGTGCTGCCAGCAACATAAACGTAATCAGGAATTTAACAAAAACCAAAAAGAAAGAGGAAAGTTGAAGAACAAACGAAACAGGAAGGAAACCGAAAACATGTTTATGGAATTGTCATCGTTAGCGAGCAACTGACGCAACAGCTCAAGGCATGTGGCAACAGCAACATCTGCAGCATCAGCAGCAGCAGCAGAAGGAACAGCAGCAGCAGCAGCAGCAGCAGCAGCAGCAGCAGCAGCAACACTGAGTGGCAGCAGCAACACTTTGAGGCAGCAGCAGCAGCAGCGGCAACTGGGAAGCGGGAGCGGGAGCGGGAGCAACCTCCGTGGGAAGGTGGTGTGCTGCTATAAAGCAGCACCATTGCTGCCATTAAAATAGACGCCGCGGCGCAACAGCAACGCTGCCGTCGTCACAATCAACGCCAGCGACAACACCATCCGCATCATCGCCATCGCAGACGACGACGGCGCAGCAGCAACACCACCACCAGCAGCAGCAACAGCAACTGCAACAGCAACACCAGCAGCAGCAACTGCAACAGCATCAACAGCAACAACAGCAACTTCTGCAGCGGGTTGTTGGGCGCAGTGGGTGTGGCTGCCATCAGCTGCCCATTGCTCGACACTCAGCAACTAATCGACGAGCCGGGCAGCAGCAACAACACTGGCGACGACGACGGCGGCGCAGCAGCAACAACAGCAAGGGCAGCAGCAATAACGCAGCAGCAATACTGCAACCAGCAACATCAGCAACGTGGTCGACGGCGACGCTACGACGGCCTGTCATCTGTAGGCAATGCAACGCGCTGTGCAGCAACGGTGAGTGGACAGGAAACTGTTTTTTATTATATATTTTTACGATCCCATAAGAGGTTCTTAAAGTACTTAAAGTTCGAGGTGGTTCAAGGCTTGGGATGGTACTACAAACAAAAATATATAGTTATTCAGTAGCAGAAATAAGAAGCAAACGAACGAGAGAGTCAGAAGTTAAAATAGAAATGATTAAAAATTAATTTGAGTATGAGAGGAAAAAATAATTTAATAGATTTGTGATTTTCGGATAGTAAGCACCACTTCAAAAATACATTTTTATTGGCCAACTTATAATTGTAAAGCTCAATAAAATACAGGTCTTACTTTAATATTTATTTGTACACTCTCAAGCGAGTAAAGATTTTTAAAATGTTTTTGCTTCCCGTGAAAACCCCCGCATAATTGTTAATAATTTGTTGGGGAAGTTGGCCCCGCTTGGGGAAACTGGAGGAGGTGGCCTGCCACGCGAAACTCAATTATCGCATCTTTACAAGTTACTTCCGAGAATTTCCCACGACCATTACGTGATCTCGTGTCAATCTTACCAGCCAAGCAGCCAGCCATCCAGGAATACAGGCATCCAGTCAGCCGGGGGCCAATGGAAAATGTGGAAATCTGTGCCGAGACTTCGGGCCTTCGCCTGCCCATTAGCTGTCAGGTTAATGCACCCAAAATGTTAATAAAACACAAACACATATCCACACACACACACAAATACGGAGAGCGGGGCACATATGAATTTATGATAAGCACACGCAGGGGGCACAAAAGTGAAGAAGGAAGGGGGAGGGGGTGGAGGGTGGAAGGTGGAAGGTTGGGGAATTGGAGGGGAAACAGGCACTTTAAAGTTGCGACAGCGTGACGTGGGCAAACTTTCACCAAGAGTCGTGCTAATGAATTCCCCAGCACACGTTCGCTGTATCTGTATCTGTATCTCTCGTATCTGTGTATTCATATCTGTAGCTGTAGTCGTGTATCTGCATTTGTATGTGTGTGTGTGTACCAGCGACAGTCGTATAATTTCTAATGCGATGCTTTTATGATCGCCCCACACACACACAAACACTGTGGAAAAAAACACCCACGGGTGCTGCCACGCACGTGTATCAGCCTACTGCTAGGATATACTACACACACACCCATACGGAGAGTGTATATGTGTGTGTGTTTGTGGAAATTAAAATGCATAAAAGGATAACAGCAGCGCTGTTGTTGTTGCTGTCGCTGGCGACAAACCACAGGCCCACATCGAAGCCGTTGGCTGTCAGCGACGAGCAACCAGCAACGAGCAACCAGCAACATTGTCATTGTAGGCAAATTTCGCCAGAGACTGCATTGGCAAAAAAAAACAAGTAAAAGCAAAAAAAAAAAAAAACAAGCTAGGGAAAAAATGGGAGAATAAAACGAAAGCGAAAGCCTCTGACAAATTGTACTGCAGGGAAAATTGCGATTTTCGCGCTCATCAACGATGGTAGCAACAACAACAACAAAAGCAACAACAACAACTAAAACAACAACAACAATGGACCAAAGTGCACGTGTTGCTGCGGTGCTGCGTCTGGTTTAATTTTAGCACCGGCTACGGGTCCCTCAGCAAAACCAAACTGAACGGAAAGCGAACGGAAGGCGAACGATGCCTACACCTTGACACTACAAAACGGGGCGTATACGTAATACACACTGCATACTATTAGGCGCTCATAAAAAATGTAACGTTGTCGCATAAAAATAGATGCCGAACCCTCGTCTGTGAGTTAGCATGTATGTGTGTGTGAGTGTGTGTGTGTGCGTGTGTTGTTGTGGCTTTAGCGAGGAATAAACCATGCATAATGCCCCCAATGTTGTTGTCGTCGCCATCATCAGCATTTGAGTTATAAATTTTTATATGATTTGAGCCCGACTTGCACCATAATTACGCTGGTGTGTGTATGTCTGTGGGTGTGATTGTGTGTGCCTAGGTATCATAATAAAATGTTGAACATTTTATGTGCGCTCTTCAACTTTTGTGTAGCTAGTTGAACCGGCAAACTCGAAACCTTCTTATCAGGCACACGGAGAAACATATTCATTAAGCGCAATATAAATAAAATGGGACTCATTTTAAATTCATGAGGCCTACCAATGGGGAAATTAATCTCAATTTATGGTTTACCTGTTTGAAGAAGCTTAAAAGCTGATAAAAGAAAAAGAATTTGTTAGTTTTAAGACATCGCTTTGACAAATAAAAACAGTTAAGACATGATTAAGGCTCCGAAAATTGCTTGGGAAACCAATAAAAAGGCCACTTCTTTACTCGAATCTTCATGTAGTCCTCTACTCTAATTTATTTTGAACTCGAAAAAAAGCAGCTCATTGATGGTAAATTTCATGCTGTTTTTTCTGGGTGCAGCCTCCCAGCTTTCCTCTGTGATTGCGACCAACTGGAGGCACGTTTGGGCCAGGGGCCAAGGAAGCAACGATTATTATTGGCAATCAAGTGGAGTGCCATCTTGCCTCTGGCTAGTTTGATCTCTGATTGCACTCGGCGGTGTGTTAGGAGAAGAGTTTCGAGAAATTGCTCCGACGTTTCGTTTTCTGGCCAGGGGGCACAGCACATGAGCTGACTGCGAGTGAATGGCAAGCCAGCTCCGAGGAACCATTCCATAAATGGAAATAAAATCAATCCGGGGGTTAGACATCACAGGAAGTTGGCTTCGATAAAAAGCCATGATTTCGGGTTAAATATTCCCACGTTCGCTTCACTTGCCTGTCATCAGTAGTCATTCCCGAATGCGAATTACAGCCAGCCAAAATCCAATCTAGGCCCCAGCAATCCTCCTCTTTTGCTTTCCTTTTTTTTCTGGCCTGTTATGCAATGTACTCGTGACTCGTAACTCGTAACTCGCAACTCGTAATTCATAAGCCAGCAGAAGCATGTAATATGCCTTCGATAACATTTTGCTCGTGTGACAAATTTTTGTCGCAACCAAAGGGGGCAAAAAAAATAGGAAAAATCTGCAGAGAAACAGGAAAAGTTTGCCCAGAAAGGAAAGGGAAGAAAAGGGGAATGGGTCTCGTTGGTGGGGTTGGCAAAAGGACAAAGTGTTAAATGTTGACATGTCATGACATTCCAAAGAGTGGCGGCCAAGCAGATGGGCCTTAGCCTGCTCGAGAGACAAGGGCTAACGAACGCCGGCATCCTGGCCAAGGAGCAGGCATCCTGGTCAACATGAAGAGAGTGAAAGAGAGGGAAAACCGCTCGAACGAGCGGCTTACGTGCTGACAGCTGACAGGGAAACCAATGAACTACGATATGACATGGCCGCCGTTTCACTTCGCTCCATTCTTTCTTTTCCTTTTTCCGGGGAATAACATTTACTTGGTATGTGTGTGCCTGTGTGTGTTTGTGTGTGTGCGTGAGCCACCCAAAGTTGTGTGTTTGTGTTTGTGCGGAACATCAACTAATATTGTCAACGCAACGTTCGACTTGTTATCCCTTCCGCTCGCCTGGCTTCCTCTTCTTAATTTCGTTTTGAACTCCTCATCCACGTCTTCGTCTTTGTCTTCTTCTTCCCTCTCCGTCTTCCTCGTCGGCCATTTTGTCTGCCCTCTCGCTCTGCCTTCTCCGCCTTCCCGAGACTCGCTGTCTCTGTCAGTTATTTGCAGAAATTTATTGAAATTGTTTGTCAAATTCCGTTTACTTGTTTTTCGCATTTTGCCAAAAATTTCCTTCTTTTTTTTCTCTGCCAGCAAATGATGACAAGGACAACCAGACTTCCGTCGATGTCCTCTTGCGCCATTTCCCCCTCCCCCTCCCCCTTTCTCCCTTCTCCTTTCTCCTTCATCTTGGTGTGTGTTTTTTTTTTTGTGCTGTGTGTGTTTGGCAGTTAATCTAAGAACTCGAACTTGCTTGGCGCTGGGCTGGCCCTATAGCTTCGTGTCGCATCAACTATAAGTTGGTCCTGGCAAGGACTCACCAATCCTGCCATGCTGCCATCCTGCCATCTACTTTTTTATAAGTTACTGCTATAAAATGTTGCGCCATTTCCCATATGCACGCCGCTCACTGTTTGTTTTTGCATGCAATTCTCGCTCACTTTTTTTTCGGGGAAGTCCCTTTTTGCTCAGCATTTTAAGGACGAAATAAATAGGGCACAAGTATGTATATAAATATATTCAAGAAGCGATCCAAGATTTTATTGATGTTGCTTGAATTTGAATGACATTGTAAAATTATACGCAAATGTATGCAGCCACCAGAAGAAGAAAACGACGAGTACTTCAGGCTCCACTTCGCTCTGCATAAAATGGAGAACTAACAAAAAAGATATGATGAAAAGGAAGCAAAGGAAAAGGAAAGAAATTTGGTGTTCTAAAAAGTTTTATGTGCATATCTATTACAGCTTCTGTGTTATGTATGCCATATTGGCCAACTGTCTTGGCCAAAACACTTTTGAATGGTACAGACTCGTATGTGGAGCGTATGTCTCTGCATAAAGCATAATCAAATTGGCCTGCAAGTGGAAGTTTTGTGGCTGTGCTCTAAGCCCATTGGCTCCATCCGTCTTATGTAAGCAGAGCCATCAAAATGTATTTTGCTCGAGTAAATTTGAAGGCTGTAAAAATTATTCATACCATACGAAGACTTTAGATGGTGGTAAATGATTTCATTTTTCAAAATTTACAGTACTTGACGTGCATAAAATACAAGAATTTTCCCATTTTATAAACTTCAATGAACACATTCTTTTACTTATTGGGTTTATTACTTACAGCTCTAAAATGAACGACGAAGCCTCCTCTCTTAAACTCTATTTTTCTATTTTCTAAGCACAGAAAAGTGATGGACACTCTACAGATTTTCCCAATCCAATCTTTCTGCTGCAGGCAAATTCCCAGAATTAGTGTCTTTGTCGGTGTCATGTTTTTTCAACCCTTTAAGCCCAATCTAGGGAATTGTTTTCCCCCTTTGCGTTGGGAAAGTCGCAAAGGGAGGAATGAAAATTGCACGATAACACGGCAGCGAG